GTTGAGCCCGGTGCCGGGTAGCACGTGTGCGCCGGGAGCGCTTCCTCCTCCTCCTCCTCCCTCCCTCTGCCCTGTCCGTAAGGGCTTTGTGTTGGTCTCTTTAATTTGTTTCCCTTTCCTTTTTCCCCTCCTTTAAATTTCTTTTAAGCACGTATTTCGTCAGAGGAAGCGTTTTCCCCCGTGCTGCTCCCAGCAGCCCTTAGAGGACCGGAGCGACTCTTGGATCCTCATGCCTAAAGTGTGTCCGGGAACACTCCCCAGGGGCTGGAGGACTCGGGGAGGATCAGCTCGGAGCGGGGAAGGGTTTCCCTAGCTGCACCGGGACCGGAGCAGGGTGGCACATGTGCTCTCCTTCCCGGGGACAGGATGTGGGTGCACTGAAGTGATCCAGAATGGAAACATCCTGGTAGACAGAGCATAAAGTTCTATACTCTGCTGCGCTGCCTGTTTCCATCAGTAATATCCAGGAGCTTTGGAGGGAATTGAGGGAAGCTCAAGGAGTGTTTCAGCAGTTGTGTAGTTGTAGTTGATTCTCGTGTTACTTGTTCAGATTATCTAGGTGACCTGTTACCTCCACGTGGTAGGAAAAGCTTTTTTCCAAGTTTTTCCAAAAGTCCTACATGGAGTGTCCTAGCACCTTAGGACCAAGAGTTCAGTGGTGTCCCTGGAGACAGTTTGAGGGGTGATCAGTCAGACTTTGGACTTGATGGTCTTGGAGGTCTTTTCCAGCCTAAATGGTTCTGTGGCAGTGCTGGGTTTATGCCTGGACTCAATGATCTTAGAAGCCTTTTCCAACCTGAATAATTCTATGATTCAATTCTGTGAACTCCTGAGCCATCTTTATAGGTAGCAGATGACATCTCCTGAAAAGGAGCCAAATGTGTGATGCCTCTCTAGGGTTAATGCTGCCTGTAAGGTTAAGCCTGCTCATTGCCCCTACGTATGCAGCGTATAATTCTGATGAGAAATGTTATTAATTTTAATATTTCAATGAATATTCAATCAGCGAATCAAATAGTTTCATATTTCATCTTAACATTGCTGTCAAATCTAAGTTAAATTTATAATGAATGCTTAATATTACTGCACACATTGCTTTCTGCATAGCATTTTGCCTATTTCCTTCACTCAGCTCTACTTCCTTTCTTTTTAACCAAGCATGACTGGACACAGTTCAGCTAATGTGTTTGTAGCTTTTTTGTCTGAGTGATGCAGTACTGAGAATTGCTTTCAAATGACTTAGTGCAGAGTTTAGATATAGCACTGGGTCTAGGCTTTTTGATTGTCAGACCCTTGAAAGTTTGTCAAAGTGACAGTGATCTTTTTGGAACAAATCTGAGCTTACTGAAGATGGTTACCTTTTCAAAGTGATGTTTCTTGAAATTATTTGGGAGTACTTAATGGGGCACAGTTTGGAAATAGCTATAGTAGGTCACTGTAGCTGTCTTATAACAGTACCCTGCTATAATTTTACTTCCCAGAAATGTAATTGATGTCTTGAGCAACTGACAGTAAAATTTAGTTTTCCATGTAGAACTTTCCTGCTGTAATGTGTGGATCTGACTAGAATTTTAATACTGTTAATAGAGAAAATAGTTGTTAAAATTCAGGTGATGCTTCATCTCAAGACTAACTGGATTGGAAGTATTTTCCTTCTAGTTTCTCAGACCCTTTGATTGTACAGTTTCATAGGGAAGTAAATGTGTTGATTACTAGAAGTTTATTCTATTAAAACCAGCTCCGAGTGAGGAATAATACTATTGGTAAAGTGAGATTTTACTTATAAAAACCAATCCAAAACAAAAACATCACCTAGTTCTGATGCCCTCAATAAAAATATCTTTCAGACTTGGTGCTAAAAGTATGCCTGAGAGATTTGTGAGAATTATCTTAGTATTCATCTCATCTGTGATTGCTTTGAAATCTTTGTTACTTCAGTACAAGGTAGAAGCTTGCAGACATGAAATCACTGATCTATGCCAAGTTGCCTTCCAGTTAGTGTTAGTGTGCTTACAGTAGGAGCAAAGAGAATACAGCAAAAACAAAAAAGAAAGGAGGAACAGAGGGAACTGCATGAAAACGTTTTGGTGGAGATGTGTGATTTTTGGTTTCATTGAGATTTTCTCTGTACTGCAGGTGGCTTCAGCCAGGAGGAACTGCTAAAAATATGGAAGGGCCTGTTCTATTGTATGTGGATGCAGGATAAACCTCTGCTACAGGTATAGTAACTGGTTTTATATTTGCTTGAGTGAGTCCCTTCTAAAATACACTGTAGGGACAAAGTAATTTAGAATGGTGAAAATTACCTTAGTGAGTTTTGCCCACCTCTTTTTGTCTTCCCCTGCAGCCCACACGTGGCATGTGCAGGAGGAGAGGTGACTAATTCAGTGGTCAGAACATGAACAGAACTCTAAATGGCATCATGTTTGGAGTCACCTTCTGTATGTCAGGTGTAGCTGTTTACCTTTCATAACCATAGCTGGAACATCTACTGTTATGAAGTGCACTGGTCTGGTGGAACTAAAGCTGTAACAGCAGGTTGCCCCTAACTTGCAGCTGCAACACATGCAGACTTTTTTCAGGCTAGTTGGAAAGTTTCACACTTCTTTTCCTTTGTTAGTGCAGTAGCACTTCCTCTGCTACCAACTTAGTCTCTTTGTCAGCTCCTACCAGTTTTGATCCCTCCTTTCAGAAGATAGCACATTTGGAGTCCCAGCTCTCAGTAACCTCACTTCATCAGTTTTCAGATCACTTGCCTGCCTGAACAAGGTTTCTTTCACACACAGCCCAGACAACTCCACAAAGAGCTATATGAGAACAGTGCCCCTAAAGTTTTACATCATTTGTTAATTCAAATATGTGGGATTTTTCTCCTAATATAATTTTGTCTGCTGTCAAAAAGATGATTTGTGCAGAGATCTGATGAAATGAACAGGTTTTGGTACCCTTAAAACTTCTCTTGCAACTGACCCAGTCCCAGTGGAAGGATAACTAGTACTAAAGCAGCTGTTAAGAGAATATTTTACATTTTGAGGGATGTTTCATCAAATTCAAACTTATTGCTGTTTTCTGGTTGTGTGTTTAGTGAGAAGACCAAGCTTTGAAATGTGCTGTAGTCACTGTATTTATTTACTTTCAGGAGGAACTTGCAGGCAATATCTCACAGCTTGTCCATGTGATTCAGAATACAGAGGCTCGTGAGTACTGTTTAATTGTCTAATGCTTTGAAGGTACTTTAATCTTTGGTGATTTTGAGGCCCCTATCACAGTGCCAGGATACAGACAGACAGGCAGGGATGCTGCTTTGCTTTCTTCATTTCCTTTTTGTCCAGCTGGTGTGGGAGATTGCATTAAGGGAAGCATGAAATGCAGTTTGTTTCTGGTTCTTGCAGGGGAAAAGTTCTATCTCCAGTGTGACACAGGTGAGACTTTGCAGGGTGGGTAGCAAACCAAATTTGTCCCCTTACTTTTCCATTCTGCATAGATTGTTCTGTGTATTTCCTGCTCAAAACCAACCTTGTTTCATGACTGTTAAGCATCTAGTATTCCAAATGCACTTGACATAGAGTCCTCAGTCAATGCCAGAACTTGCATGGGTAGAAATGAGTGCAGAATGGATATTTTGCTCTGACTTGTCTGTATGTAACACAAAATAGATACAAAACCATCCCTGTAATTAAATTTGTTTTAAAAAGTAGCTGTGTGCCTTTTCCTGTGTTGTTCTCAACCTTCAGTGGCTTCTCCTTATACCCATCTCAAGTCTTGCCATAGCTCTATCCCAGTCACAAGGTAAACCCCTAGGGAACTGCATCCCTTTCTCACATTGAGAGTTCCTGAGGTGCTTTCAGGTTAGCAAAACAAGCCATTGTGCCAGACATGCAGTGTTTTTCCTTCCTCTCTTACAGGGCACCTGTTCATCCAGACATTCTGGCAGACGATAAACCGTGAGTGGAATGGGATAGACAATCTGCGTCTGGATAAGTACTACATGGTAAGGATAAATCTCCTGTGGATCTTTCCTGCTAGAGAAGGTGTAGGGGTGGTGTGCTAGAGGGCAGCTTTGTCTGCACATGCATTTATGTATGTTGTAAGAGAAGACAAGGGACTCCCTTCTTGAACCCACTGCAAAAGATACTTGTTTTAAAGGCTTTCACTCACCACTAAAAGCCTTTACAGTTTATATTGTGCCCAAGTGCTTTCCTGTTTGCCTTTATAACAATGATGTTCCTCAGTGGCTTCTATGTAGAATATAAATAGTATCTCAAAGGACACTGCATCAGCATCAGTTTTTTGGATCAGACTGTTTAAAGATAGTTTTATGACTGCATAAAGTAGTTGTCACCAGAATTCCAACTTTCCACCATGAAAGTATTGACTGTAGTACGTTGTGCTGTCAGAATTCTTTCTCTAGCAAACACTACACTAAGTAGTAAAATCACTTGAGAGAAGAATCTTAAAAGACCCACCTTTGTAAAGAACAAAGTCCCATTAATCTTTTCCTTTGAAAGAAGTTAATTGCAGGCACATTCACTTCTGGTTATTGTTTCTCAGTGTTACAGATACTAATTATTTCAGTAAGTGAAGTGTCTTGAGCCAGTTGATTGTAGCTATTTTACATGTGGCTGTGGCTTAGTACAAATTTCAAGTAAATTAAGCTATTATTGTTACCATCAGTCCCATATTGTCTCCAGTTTGAGCTGTGGCTTTTCTTGGATTTGGCAGCACTTAATGAAGAAATCAGGGTGATGGAGCAAAAGAAAGCTGCATATTAGAAATGGTCATGGATTTTTCTGGGCTTAGGATATGAAAATAGTTTGTTGTCTTTGGATCTTCACACCATCCTTATGTTGTTTTACATGATAGACAAATCTGTCAAAATGTTCATAGGAGACAGCTTCCACCTTGTGCTACAAAGAGGTTTACTAAGAAGTCTGTTCTTATTACAGTCACAATGGCTCCTTTATCTTTTCATGAACAACATGTATAACCAATTTTGTACTTTGCAGCTAATGCGTCTGATTTTGAGGCAATCCTTTGAAGTGCTGAAAAGAAATGAATGGGATGAAAGGTAAGAACATTTCTGAATGGAGTTGCATTATAAAGAAGTCACCCGATTTACATCTATCAAATATATTTTCATTTAACAGATCCATTTTTTTTGGCCATAGATGCCACTGTCATGAAGTCTTAACATTAAGGCTTATTTGTTCTCTGGATCATTTATGATATGTAGTTCAGAAACATGGGTGAAGTGTTTCAGGCCAGGTTGGATGGGACTCTGAGCAACCTGGTCTAGGAGAAGATGTGCCTGTCCATGGCAGGGGTGTTGTAATGAGATGATCTTCAAGGTCCCTTCCAGCCCAAAGCATTCTGTGATTCCTTAAGTTAGATACACTCAGCAATTGATAACTCTCATGTTCATCTACACCATTTAGTGTGTGTTTCACTGGAAGAGATTTAAGAAGGGAATTCATGTATGCTTGTGCAAAACCTGAACATAGGAGCTTGTGTGATATTCCAAGCAGTCTGAAACCTGAGCTTCCTGTAAACTAGCTTTCTGTTTGTTGTATACATCAGTGGGTTTGGTTGTATTTCTTCCACATTCTGTCAAAAGGCAAGTAATTGCAGTCATTTGCTCTGTCTAGAGCTCTTGTGCCACTTCTAAGCTTGCTCTGTGTTTAAACTGATGAAGAGCTTTAAGTCATTTAATTGAAAGTCCTTGATAACCTAGTAGTAGAATCATAGAATTTAAGGGTTTGAATGAACCTTACAGATCATCTAGTCCCAACCCCCTGCCCTGGGCAGGGACACCTCATCACTAAATCAGGTTGCTCAAGGCCTTATGCTTTTCCTTTCTCTCTCTTGCCATCTGAATTGTGGAATGTATCCAGGCATGTTTTTGTGGAAACAGAATGGAATGCAAGGCTAAAGTACACCCTGTCTCTCCTGTTCTACCTTATGTTTGCAATGGGTAAATGCCACAGGTTGAAGAGATGAAAATGTTTCTTGACAGGAGCAGGTGTGGGAGGAAGTTTGATAAAGCCAAACCCCTTTATTCCCAAACACATTCCCATGGCAGAGACATAGTCACCCAAACTGATCTCTGGCAATGTTTCTTATGGCTTTGGCCTCCATTTTTTCCAGTATCACTGGAAAAATGGCCTGGAGACCCTTCACCACCAGAGGAGGCAGTGTGGGAAGAGAAGATCACAATTCCTTTCTTTGCAGAGTGAGGGAGCTCAGGATCTGCCTTTCCCTCCTAAGTGGAGCCTAGAAGCTACCTAGCATGCATGTCTTTCCTCTTTTCTTTTCAAATGCTTTGAAAGAAAGGTGTATTAAACTAAAACTGAAAGAATCTTTATGGTTTTGGAATGCTTTGAATTCTCCTTGGGACTGGAAACATTTGTTCTAGGCAAAATTGCAGGAAGTCCAAAAGAACAGCAGGGGAGAAAGCTTGGAATATGCAAAGCTTCACTTTCCTGAAAGATAGCAATAATAAGCCTCAGAAGAAAAAAAAAAAACAATACAAAGGAAAAAAGTCCCAAGTGCTGCTTGGCTGCAGCAATGAGAGCATGTCCCTGGCCATGTCACTCCACAGTATTTGTTAGTATCCCAGAAGTGAATACCTGAGCCACAGATCTACTTGTACACAGCTCAGTCATTTCATTAAGATGTGAAAATTGGTTACTGGATTTATTCCTTAGGAGTGTTAGATTGGCATCTTAAAGAACCGGTAAGACTGCAAATGGCTAGAGTTTGATTTCAAAGCAAACAGATCTTCAGCAATTGAATATGAATATCTTGTTCTTTTTTTTCTCTTTATTTTTTTCAGTCTAGTTGAACTGTTGCTGCAGGTGCTAATGAAGGAAGTTATGGAACCAAACAGCAATGCTCCTGGTGGGATAAAGTTACATTTCGTTGATATCTATCTGGATGAATTGGCTAAAGTTGGTGCAAAGGAGGTTAGAAAATACATTGTCATTTTCTTTCTGATAAACATTAACTGTATCATGCAGCATTTTAGGAGAAATGTGATTTTTAGATCATGTTATTTTAACAGTTTTAAATTAACACAACATGAAGGAAGTGACTTACTACAAGTTATGCTTTTACTTTTATTCATGTCTTTGACAGTGAGAATACAGTAGTTTCTTCCAAGTTCCTGAGTACTGCTGTGCTGCTGCAAATTGAGGTTGGACATAGCAATAGAAAAGTTAGACCATTCTCACTTGTTTGTTTCACCAGAAAGGACTTAGTATCTTTTCCCTTGTGTGAACATGTTTTCCAGTCTTTGCCTTTGCAAAAGCTGACATAAAGCTTTGGCTTGTTGGCTCTTGGCTCCTTGTGTAACACCTAAAGAGAGGAAGACAGTGAGCTTTCAAAGGTGTCTAATATTTGCTTCTTGTGGTCTGTGCATTGTGCAGTTTACCCTCTGCATCCAGTTGTTTGTTTTGCTGAAGACAGCTGTCGTTCTTTGCTGTATGTGCTGGTGCAGTTGCCCTTTAATTTTGGCTGATGTTGCAGTGCTGCAGAGTTTTGCAGCAGCAAAGCCCATTGCTGCAGCTGTCACTGCTGAACTCTTTCCAGAGAGCATTTCTCCTGTTCCTCCACCCTGCCTGCTGTCCCACACTCGTCCCAGCCTCCTGCTCAGTTACCTCCCCTTGTCTCTGGCCTCTGGTGCTTCTCCTTGCAGTGGATCAAGCTGTTAGCAATTGTCCATTTATATTCGTTGCAGTCAATACTGAAAGCAATCCTGCCTGCAGCTTTAGAGGTTGTGGATTGTGGAGCACCAGAGAAGTGGTGCAGATGGAGCCCAAATAATTTCTGCAGCTCCACAGACACAAAGCTGTAGCTCAGCTGCTTATAGGAAGCCTGGGGAGTTAGTCCCCTAGGGAGTTAGCCCCTTAGACTATCTGAAATGGTAGATGATGCTCGTAAATTGAATTCAGGGAAGGATTTTTATCTTGAGCACTGCTGTAGCTGACAGTGTTTTGGTCCAAGCAGTTCAGTTAAGAGAAACCCAGATCTTACTCCTGTCTGCTACAGACCTTCTTCATCAAAGGGCACAAAATTATTTGAGCTTTCTCTGCCTCATGTTTCCATATATAAAATGAGAAGCTTTGTTATATTTCTGTAATCAATAAAGTCTGCAATGCAGTCAGTGTTTGTATAATATTTCCAGGGAATGCCTAGAAGTTAGTGGTTGTAATGGTAACAAAAAGTCCCTGGATACCCCTGTCAGGTGGAATACAACTGCAAGACTTTGTTAAAGAAGATCCCCCAACACCAAATATTCAAGGAATTTGAGTTTATAGATACAATATTTACTGTACTCACTATTTTTTTCTTTCTAATCATACAGCTCACAGCAGACCAGAATCTCAAGCTCATTGAACCTTTCTGCAAAATTGCTGCCAGAACAAAGGAGTAAGTTTAATGAAAGGATAAATGCTTTTTAAGAATTAAGAAATGCTGAATATACCACTCCACATGATAATAAATGATAGATTAGAGATACTCTTCATGGATTTATAAGAACTATATCAACCTCTATTGGCTAATTTGTCTAGCTATTTTATCTTTTTAACTTGCAGAGAGCAGCTGAGCTGGTTGGATTCCTTATTGTTGCAGTGTAATACAGAGCAGCATATAAACACGGAGAAATTTAAGAGAGGGATGCTAGCAGGACACTGGATTGAAGGATTTGTTTAGGAAGATAGAATCATAGAATTTAAGGGTTGGAATGGACCTTACAGATCATCTGGTCCCAGCCCTCTGCCCTGGGCAGGGACACCTCCCACCAGAGCAGGTTGCTCAAGACTTTATCCAACCTGGAATGAGCACTGCCAGGGTTGGGGCAGCCACAACCTCCCTGGGCAACCTGAGCCACTGTCTCACCACCCTCACAGGAGCATTCAACTTAGACTTTTCCTCCTTCAGTCTGAACCCATTACCCCTTGTTCTATCACTGCAGTTCCTAACACAGAGTCCCTCTCTGGCTCCTTGTAGCCCCTTCAGATATTGAAAGGTTGCTCTGAGGTCTCCACACAGTTTTCTCTTCTCCAGGCTGAACAGCCCCAACTCCCTCAGCCTGTCCTCATAGAGGAGATGCTCCAGTCCTCTTAGCAACTTTGTGTCCTACTCTGGACTTGCTCCAACAGTTCCACGTCCTTCTTATGTTCACTATCCTCATCTGAAGAGCTAGATATTCTTCTGCTTTGTTTTTTCTCACCCATTTTCCCTGTGTGCCTCAAGTTTCCACTGTTCTAGTGTGAGAGGGGAGGGTGTGTATGCTTGTGCCTTAGTCTCAGTCCTGCTCTCCTGTGACACAGCCGGGGTGTGCTGCATGCTGTAGTCAATGGCATCTTTGAGATGATTGTGGATCAGTCCCCCTACGCCATCGAGGACCTAATGAAAGAACTGGGTACCAACAGTGATGAGGAGGATCTTTCTGAAGAAGACAAACAGGGAAATGAAGAGGTGCTTAAAACCAAAGGTGAGGAGGAAGTTCTAAATTGCTTTGGTAAGACTTGCTAGGATTAAAAAATCTTGTTTCTTAAAAGTACGTTTCTGCTCTGAACCAATCAAACACATATTCATGTTTTCCTGACTTCCCTTCAGATGTGCTTAACAAAGTGACTCCGAAAGCTAACTTAAACAAACTGAACATTAATATTCAGTCTTTTTTCTGTTATAGGAGACAGATGTTTGCCAAGAAAATCAGCACAGAGCTCTGAAAGAACAGATGATGTGGATGAAAATGATGATGATGGGATCGGGACTGTTCTTCAGGTTTGTGGCTTCTTTGCTCTGTTATTGATGCTCTTCTTTTTTTGCCATCCCTTTCAAGAGGTACAGAAGTTACAGCACAAAGTCTAAAACTCCTTCTGATTTAATAGAAGATGTTTATGTAATGTGCACTGTGCAAGTAGTAGTAAAATAAATCCATGTCTACATTTTTTCCTCTCTCCCCTGCCTTCTGTTTTTTGCACCTCCCTTCCTGTTTCAAGAATTAAATGTGTGCTAGTGCCAAGCCCCTGTGGGTGGTGAAGGAATCAGCTTCAGTTGCATTGAAAATAAGAGCAAAAGTATTAGAAGAGAGGGTAATATGTTACAGTCTGGGTTTTCTAGACCCACATCCAGTGCAGTGTAGTGTTTTTGACAGATCCACCCATCAAACACATGTGCAGTTAGATACACTTGATGCATCTGTGGCTTTTAAGCAGGAAATAGGACATGACACACTTTAAATCTGATATTTAGCTAAATATTTTTGGGAATTTTGAAGTGGGTTGGCTTCTCTCTTGAGTAAGGAATAAGGTTAGGAATGTTTGTGAGAGTGATACCAAGTTCAGCTGTTGTGTTAATGAAGCAACCATCTGGAAAAGTCAGTATATGTGTGTGTGTGATGGGGGAGTAAATTTCAACAGAGAAAAATATTTTGGGTTTAAAGGAAGTAGCTGTTGTGCTACTTGAAGTATTGGTAACATGAGTTGCATTGGGTTATCTTACATGAACAAGCTGACTGAGAAAAGCTGTGTCTTACTTTCCTCCAACAGTTTGACTATAAGGCTGTTGCTGACAAACTCTTTGAATTTGCAAGCAAGAAAAATACACCTTCCCTGAACAGAAAGCGTCTGTACAAGCTGATCAAAAAGTGAGTTCTGTTGAAATGCATGTGCCTTCTCGTCCTAAACAACTTTTGCTTTGCTTTCTGCCCACTCTTGCTTGTCCTGATGGTAATTTTGAAAGAACAGGTTTGTCTCACAGCCCTGGATGACTTGCCTGAAGCCTGTGCTGCTGTTCCTCATTGGTACAAGAGCAGCCAGCTGAGGTGTATCTACACTGGGTGGGTTTGTACTGCAGAATGGGACATCAGGTTGTGCATGGTGCAAGTTTCAGATGCAGGAGAAGTGTTAAATTACTCTTTTCTCAATACTTTCAGTGATGTGGTTTGAGTTTGGGGATTTCTGAGGCAGATCTCTTCTGCAGTGAGCTCTTTGTAACTTCCTGTGCAAAATAATTTTGTTCCTATTTTGACAAAATCATAGTAAGTACAGTGATACTGTTCTGCTACTGTTATTATTGGTCCCAAATCAGTAATACTGTTTTGTTTTTTCTCTCTTTCTCCCCACCTCCAGGTTCCAGAACTTAGCAGAAGGTAAGGACTGAGCAGCATACATTCCATTAAAGAATGTAATGTTCCCAGACAATATGTACAGGAAATATGTTTGGGTTTTTTTTAATTTTTATTTCAAGAATATTGTTTTGGGGGATTTGTGGTGTTTTTTTAAAATCCCATTGAGACACATTACATGTTTTTGGTGAGATAGCCAAATCCCCTTCACAATTTGAGCAATCCTGTACTTTGTCCTTAATTGAAAGAGGATTAATTTTACTTCAACAAACAGGAATTAGCTGTATGATTTTCTTTAAGGGGAAAAAGGAGGTTTTTTTCTTTCTGTGGAGGTTATGCTGTATATAAACAAGATAACTGTATATAGAAATATAGTTTCCTAATACCTTATCCTTCCTCAACAGGAATCTTTCCCCGAGATATTCCTAGAAATGTTTCTTCAGATGAAGACGATGATGAATTTGATAGGCGAAGGCGAAAGAAAAAACCTGTCAAGCCTTGGAAGCAAAACAAGTTGGAAGAAGTAAAAGGTAAGGCAAGATCAGCATTTGGAAGAGAAACAATCTGCAGTGACTGGTGCAGTTTGGCAAAGCATCAGCTACAAGCTGTTCTGAAGAAGGCAGCCCTGTTGTTTAGGGTGTGCTGATCTGTATCCTGTTGCCATCAAGGTTAAATGTGAAATGAAGTTCTCTTTGAAAGTGGTGGGAATTCTGTTACCAATTTTGAGGCAAGAATCATCTCAAAATTTCAATCAAAACCAGAACTGGAAGCATTTGTTTCATTGGTCCTTTGAGCAGTTGCATTTACTGTAGGAAAACAGAAACGTGTCAGTCTTCTTAAAACAGAATGATTGCTAGAATTTGGGGGTTTATCTTCAAAGGTGAAGAGAGTTACTGAGAACCAGGTGCAAGTATCTAGCATCATGGTTTATATTGATGCAACACATGCCCAAAAATATTTCACCAAACTACTGAACCTCTGAGTTGCCCTTCTGATGGGCTTAACAGGTGGGTGATAACAACTCCTTCTAGCAATATTGCTCTGAAAAATAGGGTTGCCACAGAGAATGGCTTAGATGTAAGCTGTGACAAGGCAAGATTGGCAGAGTATTAATTAGGCCAGGTGCAGAGGACTGCAGTGTCCTGGCCAGCTGTAGTAGTAACACTGTGTGCAGGCTGATAGCCCCTGAAAGGTACAGTTATTTTAAAAGAAAAGAAAAAGAACAAAAAATAGAATAGAATTCAATTGCTGTAAGTACCTTTGTGTTTCACATCTATTATATGGCATTCTTTTGGGGATAGATATAGAGGATAGAGAAGAGCTGTCAAGTGTGAAGATGCCATCAGTTCCGCAAAAGAAGAGGAAAAAAAGGAAGAAGAGGGACAGCCCAAGTGCTGATTCTGGAACAGCTGATGGAAACTGTGAGGAGGGAATAGCTGAAACATCTGGATCTAATGTGTCGAGCCAGGAAAAGGTGCCAGAAAATAACAAGGAGAGGAGGAAAAAGAAATTGCTAGTAAATGAGGCCAATGAGACCACAAATGTAGCAACTGACACCAGGGAAAATCAGAGTATCTCTGCGCAAAACAGCCTGACTGACGCAGAGCTGAGTAAAAAGAGTCACTTGAAGAGAATGAATCCCAAAGTGCAAAACGTTCCTGAAAAACCTGCGTGTCAGAATGGACCAGCTAATGCCAGTGCAGCAGAGGATGTCAGCACATCTGCCACACCATTAACTCCTAAGGCTGTGAAAAAGAAACAGAGAGCAGGGGCTGTCCTGGTGAATGGGGATCCCCTTCTGCAGCAAACTGACATGAAACCCAACGAGGAAAGCTCACCAGGGACACTGCCAAGAAATGCAGGGTCTGAATCTGCACCCTCTGGAAAGGTCACACTGAAGACAAAGACAAAGCTAGTTGGTTTGGAAGGGATGAAAGCCTCCAGTCAGAATGCAGCAGCCTTGAAAAAGAAGAGAAAAGTAAAAGAGATGCTGAACTCTGTTGAAGCCAATGGAGTTCTGGAGACTGCATGCAAGAAAAGCAGGAAGGGGGTATGTACATCTCATTCTTTTCGCTGCTTCTTCACTAACTGCCAGGCTCATTTTCAAATTTAGCTTTCTGAGTGTGGGGCTGCATGGACAGGCTGCATGCTTAGGTCATCATGCATTGTCACCAAAGAGAACTCAGTTCCCCAGAAATCCACACACTGCTACAGTCTCACACCCTCCTGTGCATGACACTAAGCCTTGCCAGCCACTCAGCTGGAAGAACTCATCTAGCTGAAGCTTGGGTTGTTACAGGATGTCTTTTTGCCTTAATCTTTTCTGGTCCCTGGGTTAATTATTCTTTTGCATTGGGTCTCTGGTTGAGCTTATGACATGTTCACCAAGGGCATATTTTTGGCAAAAAGATCATCCTTTTGGGAAGATCATCCTTTTGAGTAGATGGAACATCCCTTTTGCAGCAGTAGCACCAGCAGCACACACTTAGATTAGTATAAGCTCCTTGGGAAATTATCCACATGGATTCCTGGAGTGGCTTCACTCACTTCTCCATCTTAACCAAACGGATAGGGCTGTGTGGAGGAAGTATTTGGGAAAGGAGTGAACAGAGAATATTACACTGACATGTCGTCAGTGTCTGTATGATCACACTCGCGAGTGGTTCAGTGCCTTATAAAGACAATACTGTGTTTTTTCACTAGGAAGGTCTGATTGTAATCTTGTTCAAAAATGTCTGCAATGTCACTTGGGGAGAAACTGGATTTTCCCTCTCCCTACCTCCCACCCCCATTTTCTTCTTGCCAATAAGTAGAATAAGGTTGTTTTTGCTCAGTGATGTGAGAGTCAAAGAGCATTTTACACTGTATATATTTAATTGTGTGGCTATGAGAGAGAGTGCAGCAGTTCTTCCCTCTCCTGCCACTAAAATTCTTTAAACTTCTCATTTCCCATGTGCATATTCACCCTAACACATTTAGGGGCTCAGTTTTATTCTTGGAAGTCTTGATGACTTTCACTTTAGTGGAAAGAAAATTCATGAAGCATAACTGAGATTCTGAGTACAAAACAACTCCATCTTCCTCTGAGTTAAAAGTGCATGTTATAGCCTATCACCTCTGTTTGACTTAAGTTTAAAATTGTAGGATTAGTTAAGTAGTGCAGCTTTGTATATGAACTTGGTATAACTCCTCAGTCCTTCAAAGGAGAGAAAAAATGCATTTTGAAATATTGCTTAAATAGTATTAAAATAGTTCTGATATTTTCTGTTTTCTGATGATAAAGTACTGAGAGGGAAGAACCAAAACATTTCTGTCTCCCCACTGCAAATGCATTTCTCTCACTGCAGGGCTCCCAAAGTAGGAATCATTGGTTTTGTGCCCTGTTACCTAAGTATTCCATGTTGCATACCTTGTCTTTCTTTGTCTATAAAACATCAGTTTTTAAGACAATATGATTCTGTCACCCCTATCTCTGTTTGTAAAACTTCACTGCAACTGTCCAACAGGTTCCAAGACCTGCAACACATTCAAGATTCCTGCAAACTTCATGGAAGTGAGTTGTTGGCACAAATTAGTGTAGGCACTGAGGGAAAGGCAGCATCATGACCCCAGCACTGGTCTGTTGGCTGGCTGACCAGTCAGGGCACAGGCCAGAGGGTCACTCTTCCGTGTGTAATTCCAAAGAAACCACAGCATTTGCTTTTTCTTGCCCAGTCCAGGTAGTTGTGTGTGTATCTGTGTTGAGTGGGGATGGAGATAAACAGAAATACTTGGGAGTTGAGTCGTGAGGAGAGTGAGAGTATTGGCATAAGACAGAGGACAGGCTAAAATGCACGTGTGGAGGAAATTAAGCTTTTCTAATTTTGTTTTCATTGCTTGAGAAATAACATATTGTTTTACTTCCTGGTTTGAGTTACGCAATCCTGGCCTTGTGCCCAGAAATGAGGCATGTTTTGATTCTTGATTTCAAGGACAACATACACCTCCAAAGAATTTGCTTCAAATATTGGAAAGAAGGAGGAGGAGAAGGGGAAAACCAGACAAAATCAGCATTATTTCACAGTTGTCTCCAGAATTCAGAGAGCTAAAGGAAATAGGATTTTTCACTTTATTTAAAGCACAAGTGATTTTCAAATCAAAAGAAGCCATGTCCTGTGGACATTTTCCACAGCATGTCAGCAAAGTGCTCATGGAATTTCATGTCTATAGGTTGATGTAAAGCATAACTGAACCTCCTCTCACAGTAGTCCAAAGGTATCTAACTAGTCCATAGTCAGCGGGTTAGAAAGCTCTGCCAGCACTGGTCCTAAGAATTGCTTTGTGCTGGAGATAAAAATTGCTTTAAATGCCACAAAAGCATGAAATCGAGGCAGCAAACTAGTAGCAATACACAATAGCTGGATGTCTGAGAGTATAGACAGGCCTCATGCTCCATTTTTTCTCTAGAGTCTCCATCTTAGCCCAAAGTGGAGTTTGTTCATGAGATGCATATCTTAGTCCAGAGGTACCACAGGAGAGATTTTGCTTATGGTCAAGGAAAAAAAAAATCAGCCCTTGTGTGCAGGAGAGCTGGATCAGTTGTAAACAGCTTAATGCACATGAAGAAACCATGTTTGTTTGCACTCTGATGGGTCTGGCAAATCTATTACAAGTTCTTCCCTCTGTTCTTTGCAATGACCTTCATATTTCTGTGCAGAGAGCGCCTTAAATGTCTGCTTTCAGTCATGCTAACTGCAGAATTATCTCCTGAGAGTTAATCATGATGTGAGTACCAGCTAGCTCTTTCTCAGCTGTGGCAATGCTTACAGCAGCTGTGTGTGCTCAGCTCTGAGCACTGGTCACTGCTAGGTATAGTGAACTACAGTACTGTTGTACTGAAGCACTTGTTCCTTTCCCTCCTTCACAGGAGAGCAGTGCTGCTCTGGCACCTTTAAAGAAGAAGAAAGCAAAACCAGGAAATGATTTTGTAAAATTTGAAAAATCAACTGTACCAAAGGCAGTGTTCTTCAGGAAAGCCAGGAGCACCATCTCTTCCACCAGGACATCCATGCAGGTAAGGTGATCTCACAGGTGGCAGCTGAGTCTGGGCACAAGTCTCTTCCCAAGAAACCT